GCCTCCAGCACTTACCCTGCCCGCTGGGGCTGCATCGCAGACATTGCAGCATTTTGTGGGGGGGTGGGTTGGAGTTTTTTTGCATGCTGCCGCGGCTCCTCCTCCCGGAGCCCGCCCCCTCCCTCCCTCCGTCCTCCGCCAGCATCCCGCTCCTCCGCCCGGGGGGCGGGAATACCCCCCTCCTGCAACCCCCCCAGTGTCGCCCGCCCCCTCCCTTGCTGCTGGGGCTGATGCTGGGCCAGGGGAGGCGTCCCCCCCTGCCCTGGCTGCACTGGGGAAGCCCCTGCGCTCTGCTCCGGCTCTGCCCCGCCTGCGGTGCCTGCAGGACTGGAGAAGCCCTGGGGAGGCGTGTTTAGAGACCCACCCCAGGGATGGAGGAGGGAAAGGTATTTCCAGGTCCCGCTGGCGTGGAGTGTCACAGGGACTTTTTTCTTTCTTCCTCCCTCCTCCCCCCAGCCCTTGGCGCCTTTCCTCCTCCCCTTGCAGAAAGGGTGGAAGTTTCCAGGCTGTCGGGCCTTAGAGCCGCACTGCTCCCACCCTGCAAGGCAGTGGGGTGCTGCTGCGGGCACCTAGGCCAGGGCACTCCCCCCCATAGGGGTCTGTCTTGCTGCCTGAGGTGCCAGCTCTGAGCAGGGTCCAAGCTAGCAGAGGCTCTAGCATCATCGATTTAAACACAGGTTGTTAAGACCCAGGTGAGCACAATCCTTGGCTGGGGTGGTCTGGTTGGGACTGGTCCTGCTTGGATTCCATGACCTCCTGAGGTCCCTTCCAATGATTCTGCAATTATTTTGTCTTGGGGGTTTCCTGGACCAAAATGTCCCTTCTCCTGCCCAGCTAAGGGATTGCTACCCTAAGCTGAGAAGGGAGGGCATTCCAAGGGATTGTCTGGCCCTGTTGGTGTGTGCTCCAGGAACATCACACACCAGCTGCAGCCTGACAAATGGTATTTATAGCCAAAAGCTTCCAAAGAATTTTCCCAATTATTTGAGTTGATCTAATAAAACACATCAGATTTACCCAAAGAACCTTGTCTGGACCAGTGCGTTGAAAGATGCCAAGAGAAATGGAAAAGGGTTATACAAATGGGCACCTGCCTTTGAAAGTGCCTGTTGGAAAAGGAGACAGCAGTTTCATCACCTTCCCCCTACCCCAACAAATAGGATTTGGAGAATTTGATTTGATTTTTTTTTCATTGAAACAAAAAACTGAGAACCGTAGACATTTTTCATTAAAATAAGAGATGCCATCTCCAAATAGTCCAGCTGTGAATGGTCTGCTAAAGCAAACATTTCTATCCTCCTGCATCTCAGAATGCCCCAGCAGGGGGATTAAAAGGCATTTTCTGTGTTTGAATACTGGGGAAGTTACAGTCTGAATCTGTGAATTCTTTCCTGCCGTGCCTTTCTGTGTTTTGAGTACTGAGGAAATTACCATCTGAATCTTTCTTCTCCAAACAAATATATTTCCATCAAAACTTTGGGTTTTGATGCATCAGCATTTTCTGAGACAAAAAAGTTCTCTAAAAAATTCCCGACTAGCTCTTGTGTTAAACTGTTGTTGAGAATGTGCTCAACCTTTTGGGAGCATGCTCAACCTTCTCAGAAATCAAGTAATTTATTTAGATGCCTAAGTAAGGATGTAGAAGACTAACTTCAGGCACCCTTTTTAAAAAACTTGGTATATATGGGTGTTCAGCTTTCCCCTGTAAAATGTGAGTAAGCAATATCTTAAAAACACTTTAAGATATTTAGATGAAAATATAGAAGAGCTTAATATAATTTTTATCCATTATTAATGTCCTAATATTAGAAAAGTTGGTTCTCGTTCCTTGGAAACCATGTTGGTTTGCATCTAAATGAGCTATTAGAACTGGAGTCAAGCAAGGATGCGCAATTGCACCAACACTCTTTATCTATATTGCAGCTATTCTTCATCTCATTGCTGATAGATTTCCACCTGGAGTCAGCATCCAGAATCAGAAGAACAGGAATTTCTTTAATATCAACCAGTTATGTTCCAAATCCAAGATGATCTTCAGTATGCTGACAGTTGTGTCACGTGTGCCCACTCAAGAGCTCTAGTTTACCTTTGATTGCTTCTGTGAAGCATATGGAATGCTTGGACTCACTGTCAGCTTCATGAAAACCAAGATACTTGACCAACACACTCCAAGCCAACAATAAGGCATTGATTATGTCTAGCAAACTTATCTCACTATGGTGGCAGATAGAGGAGACAAAGGAAAATAGCTTTGACTCAGCATCACCAGGATCTACTCCTTGCTTCCAGAACTATTTGCTACATCTGCAGGTGAACATGCATATTGGATCAGCCTCCTCAGTTATGTACAGACTCACCAATAACTCCCCTCTACTATATGAGGACAACAGTCTCTCAGAGGGACTGCTGATGACCAAAATCAGTATTTCAACTAAACTTAGTATTTTTTTTCTAACTGAGAAAAATATGTTTATTCATATTCTCAGTTCTTACCTATATTACAAAATGATAGGTGATGCTTTTATTTTTTTACTATAACTGTATTAAATGTTATTTCTACTTGTTACTTATGTCAAGCTCTAGTTCAATGGAAAGGAACTCAAGTGCAAGAGAATTTTTAATTTTTTTTATTAGGTAGAATTAATTTAAATGTTCTGAATACATATTAAAATATGTTTGTATTTGCATTTAAAGCATTTAATAATCAAAAGAAGTATTATTGATACTGTGGTAATTGAAATGATTGTTCCTGATTGCTGTGTCCTTCAAGATTAAGAGCTGTTAGAGCTCATCTTCTAACAACCAGCTTCTACTCGGAGACTAGAAGAAAACATGCTATCCTCCTTTTTCAATTCTCAGTCAGTTTTGTTGGCTCTGAATTAGCTAGTCATTGAATTGAACTAAGTAAACTAAAATAAAATAGTCTCTGCACCTGTAAAATAGACTACTGCTACTTCTTGTTTAGTACTTCATTTTAGCTGATTAATCTGTGATTTCTGACAGTATTATGACTTCCTTTGAGCAAGCATGTACTATTTATTTGTTGTTTAATTTAAATTATTTTAATTACTTTTGATATGTTTAGGGCCTAGCATAGGTTGCTATAATTTCAGGTATTATAGGTTACTATAATTTTAAATGGATTTACTTATTTAAAAGAGAAAATATTTTAATAAATCTGATTTGGAGCTTTTTATTAAAAATTGATTATCAGTTACTCTGGAAATGGTATGGAATCATAAGTCAAATTGCACTTGTAGTGTGATTTTGATGCAGTTGATGGGAGTACAAAGCTTTTCTAAAGATAAACTGTAGTTGCCTTTGGGGTGTGCAAAGAGACTGATACTTGAAAGTAGAGAAGTGTTTATATCCTGTTTCTAACTATTGTTACAGAGAGCAAAAAATTACTGTAGACAGACATGTTAATTATTAAATGAATGAGGAAAAAATAATTTCAGAATCTACACGCTAACACTCTCTTTTATTACCCAACTCCCTCCCCCCTACCACCCTGAGTTCCACCTCCCAAAGCCTCTCGTGCTGTTCACTGACCATCTCGTTTCCTTCTTCAGCCAAAGATAAGACTGACAACTCCCTGCATGTTAAGTTACTGTCAGTATTCCATTGCCAATTTTGTCTCTGCCAGATATTATTACTTAGTGCATCAGAACCAAACCAAAGTCCGTATTTGTTGCATCTTTGATTTACTATCATATGAGTTAATTCTTTGGTGGAAATACAGTCAGATTTGAAAGGGCTTTGATTTGGGTCAGTGTTGATTTACATATGGCAGGAGTCAATGGGCTTGCATTTTCTTTCACTAACCCTTAATTGTAGATTGAAATGTATTGGTTGCCTCTCAGCTGTCCTATATCAGGTAGAACATTCAATAGCTGAACTATCTTTCTGTTCCCCTGGAGAACTCCACTTGATACCTCTTTACAGAAGCACGTTTGATCATTAATAACTACTCACTGAGCACAGTGATCCAACTAGTTTTGTATCCACCTTACAGAAGTTTTGTCTAGTCTGCATTTCCTTCCTTAGAATGTTGTGGGAGACAATGTCAAAAGCCTTGCTAAAATCTCATCCACTGTTCTCCTTCCATCAATATAACCTGTTACCATAGAGGAAATCCAGATGGGTTTGGCATGACTTGTTCTTGAAGAATACATGCTGGCTGTTTCTGATCAGCGTTTTCTACTGCAGGTGCTTAGAAATAGACTCCTTGATGATCTGCCCCATAATCTTTCCTGGTACAGATATCAGACTGACTGTTCCGTAATTCTCCAGATTCTCCTCCTTCCCTTAAACATAGATGCATGTGGATTCTCTTCCTACCCTTTTCCAGTCACCTGGGACTTCACCTCGCCTCTCCAAGTTCTCAAAGATGATATTGGTAGTGCAGTGTCACTCCTGTGAAACTGTTGGGCGATTAGTCACAATTAGGACATATTTCTGAACAGTGATGGCAAAAGAAGGTGGAATGTTCTAGGAAAGTGACAGCAAGAACAGGCAGGCTCTTAACTATATACTGATGAAGGCAAACATTTGGAGACCTGCTTGCTCTGCAAGGTGATGTTCGTGCTTATTTAAGCTTGCATGTTTAATAGGATAAAGCATTTTTTGTGTTATATAGTAAGCAAAGGTCCCATCTTGTTTAGATAAGCTGAGTTAAGGGCCTGCTAGCCTAAGCTAAAATTAGCATGACCTTTAGCATGGTTATTTTTGTTAAGAATGGTCTGGTGGAAGGGTCTAGTTCCTGTCTGGTAAAGGTCAAGTTCCTCTTTTAAAATACTTTGCTTTTGAGATGAGCATGTGTGACTAAACTAATTCTATAGGCATTTAAATTGTAAACAAATTAATTATAAAAAGGAACTTTGTGATGTTATACGCTAACATTGCTCTATAAAATATGCTGAAGCTCACAACAAAGCAAGGCTGGTAACGAATATCTTGTGTGGGTAACTGGTTAAGTTTTCTTATCATCCTAATCAATAAACCAGTTGAGAAGCTGTGCTGGATTTGTCTTCTAAACATTTATTCATGAATTCATCCATAGTCAGTAGTGGTTTGCGAGGGATTTCTTGGGTTAATTCTCACCCCCTGTTCCAACTATTAATAAAATGAGAATATTGGCCAGCCCACTTGCTCAGGAAGGCAAAGAGGAGAGCTGAAATATGGCAGTGATCAGAAGGAAAATGATGGAATAGATGGGATCTTTAGAACAGGTCAAAAAGAAAGAAAATGGTGGCAAACCAAACCAAAACATTTTTACAAACATTTTTTCTATTTTTAACAGTCTCAAGTCTTTTATTATCCCAAGTCCTGTAAGATGAGCTATTCAGATAGGGTTACTGGAGGTCCCATGGTCCACTCTGGACCAACTCTCGGAATACAGTCATATTTTTAACTTTATCATACAGTGATTAAAAGAATAATTTTAGATGGTAGGAGAACGCTAATAACACAAAGATGTACAAGATTATTGTCCTGCTTTGTTTTGTTTTTTAATCACAGATTTTTAAAAGCAGATCTAGACACTAATAGTCCACAGGAATTTCCAAAAGAGCTCCAACATGCATTTTTAAAGCATAAGCATAATAAATATATAGCTACCATGCTACAATAAATTTGTCATTCAATTCGTTCTCATTAACATAGGCTGTTTCAATGAAAGATATGTTGGCCTATTTCAATCATGAAAAGCTGTTCTCTTCTGTCTGTACTCCCAAAGATAAAGGAATAGTGGAAAGATCCAATCTAAATCCTTAAAAAGTATCCACAAGCCATGATTGTGCTGAAACCCTTCTATTACATAAATAGAAGTTTCCTTTACAGTGTCCTGTACAGTCAGCATTTTACACCAATAAATCTCAAATTGGCGCCAATTGCTTATGATTGAAAAGCTATCTATTATTTCTGCACTGGAACTGTATAGATGCAAAAGAAGATGTGATCCCTGAGTAGTTCACAAGCTAGGACAAGTAATTGCCCATTATCAGGTACTTATTTTCAATACTATGGTACAATAATTGTGAATACTAAAGAGCCTGTTGCTAGAACGGTCACAAAAAATATAGTCCGTGATCCATACTTAATGACCTGAATCCAGGATCCCAAAAACAGTTATATAAAGTTGTCTGGAATTGGATCAGTATGTACATTAATAATAAATACAAACATACAACAACACAAGGGTGTAGCAAAGTGGTTGACCATTATTAGATTTTAGATTAGGACAAACAAAATAGAAAAATCCCAGATCATCCACTTTACCTAATAAGGCGCAACCAAATAACCACTTGAAATCTGTTCTCCTTTATATAAACACTGCAGCATTTCTGTAAAGACTTGAGTTCGGTAAGTGATTATTTTATGGGTCAGACAGTTTTGAAGGAGTTTTTTCCGTGGGATTAAGTGGGAAGTGTATTTTGCTGCAGTTTGTCTTTGACAACAGCTCAGCAGTCACTTCAATGTAATATTTTATAGATTGTTAAAAAGGGTGCTTATCTTAATAACATGAAATAAGTATTTATTATCTATTAAAAAGAGACTAATATTCTGGATGGGATACCAGAGTTTATGAATAACTGGGATCTTAAAAGACCAGGAATTATGTATTATGAAAAGATTGCATTTCACATCAGTGAAATATTCATCACTTTGAAAAAATTACCTATTTCCAAATCACTTTGAGTTAATGCTTGTACTTATATTTATATATGTTAAAAATAGCTCCTAATGTAATGCTTAATTGATAACAGCAACTTTTAAAGAGTGTTTAGAGTGTTTTTCACTTACACTGTATAAAAACGGATTTAGTGCTTAATATTGAGGGTTTATTTGTTTGTTTGTTTTACCCTTTGTTCTTATTTTGTATTTTCTTTCTTTGGAAAACTTTTTTTTCCCTTTCTGGATATTTCACATCATCTTTTCCATTCGTCATCAGGCAGGTTGCTGATTACCAGAATAACTGCCAGGCTTTCAACTCCTTGTCATCAATGGGCTGTGAATGACAGCCAGCATTAATGTTGGCAAGCTCCCACTCTCCTTTTTGCCTTTCCTAAATGTAATTAAACCACACTAATACAGCAAAAGAAAAGCTGCAGCTTTATTTTACTTACCCTAATAACAAAACAATTAAATCACAGAAGCACACAATGCAGTCAAATAAACCCATTATGACAAGGAAATTCAGAGGTATGGGAATGGGTATATGTAGTGTTTAGACAGAGACTGCATTATGATGACTCTTCTATTCCTGACTCTACCGCTAATTCATTGAGTAATCCTGGGTGAAGTTGCTAAGGCCAGCATTTAAGAATAGCCACTGATGTTTGCTGTTAATCTCTTGGTCATCTCTTCACAGGTAAATTGTAAATAATTACAATCTTGGGTGGATTGTAAATCAATTAATGTTTACAAATCCATGGATGATGTTCAGACAAAGGTTTGAGTTGTATTAAGCAGGGGCAGAAGAGAAAATGACAAACCATCTATTTCCTTGGATATTGCTGGGGAGGAAGCCCTGACTGTTAGTAACACTTTACCTTCAAAAAGGTCAAAATATGAAATTAAGGAAAATACTGTCTAAATCTGAGTACTACATGCTAAAAAAGAATGAGACTCTTAAAAGACACTGATTTTTTTTTTATGTGCAGACAAACAACAGAACAAAGTGCAGATCAGTATATTACCGAGCTAAAGAGACTGAGTAAGAACTGTGCTTTTGGGAATGTGAGAGACTCTTTGATTAGAGAGAGAATTATTTGTGACATTACAGACATTGCATTATAAGAAAGGCTATTGCGTGAGGGAGAAAAGACTATCCCAATACTTATTTCATGGACAACCTCTTTTGTTGCATTCAGTTCTGGTGCTTGGGCCTTCACAGTTTCTGCTGTGAAGGCCCAGGCTGCAGAGCTGAATGCATCAAAAGGAGTTGTCCGTGCAGTATGTATGGAAGAATGTGGCCAAAAAAACCAACCTGGAATTTTCCATTGGTCAAAAGCCACCTCATAGGTGGAATTTTCCATTAGCAAGAAAACGCTATGTGCAGCAACTTTGGAAGGCAACATGGCCCCAAGTGTTCTGCCAATTTTGGAAAGGTCTGTTTTAAATGCAACAAGAAGAACCATTTGAGCAGATACTGCAGATCTCAGACATATAAACTTCAAGTGCACATAGCTGAGCCTACACTAGAAAAGGAATTTTTATAGGTATGGTAACCTACCCAAAACAATGAGAGGGACTGGACTTTGCCAATGGAAGTGGGTCCACATTTAAAGTGGACTCTCAAGACCAAAAGCATCATCAGATGATATGAATGTTGTCTTGTACTTCATGCACACATTTAGCTAGATTCAATTTCTCACAAGCTGCCAGACCCCAAATTGGTGTCACCTCCTTAGGTACCACAGCAAATGAGAGTTTATATGCTCTACTTTTA